AGTGGTCGAGGCGTTTCGTGCGAGACAACCACACAAGCAAATGTCAACAAGTTGGCTCGTGCAAAACTCTGCATGCTAACTTTGTTTTCAACGCGTAGCCGATGTGCTGGACACAGCGTTTACAATGAACACCTCATGCTTACCTGAAGAGAAGTTAGTAATGTCCTGCTGACCTGAAAGCTTATTGACAGCTTCTGCAAGTTATACTGCTCCGTGTTGTTGTGCAACTCCCCCCCTTCTCTCTCTCTTTCTCCCTCTCTCCCTCTCTCTCTCTCTCTGTGGTTTGCTGCCACGCAGGCTGCCCAACTGAGCTGCTGGCAATTTACCGAATGAGAGGAAGGATACTTCAAAGTCTCTGATCTCTGCATGGCAGAGAGGTGGTAAGGTTTTGAAGTGTTTGTTGAAAAGTAGGTCGAATGTCACATCTCCTTCTCTCTTCACTCAGACCCCTGCATGTGGGGTGGGATGGGATCATTGTTAGATATTATATTAGAGTATTACATGAGAGAAAGCCTAAGAAAAGCCTCCAGTTTAAGGTACTTTTTGTACATATCATCATCGGCTGTAGAAAAGTAGATACTGTTTGCTCAAGTCAGGGACTAGCCACCTTTTCAGAATCAGAATCAGAATCAGTTTTATTGCCAGGTATGTGTACACATACGAGGAATTTGACTCAGGATTGTACATTGCTCACGATGTGCTTACTCATACAATAATAAAATAATAATAATAATAATAAAATAAAATCAGACACAAACTACAGAGTAGACAACACTAATATACACACTATGAACAAAACAATATAGACATATTGACAAATAGTGCAGTGATCAGAGTGCAAAGGATGCAAGTGTAAACTATTATTCTCATTATGTACATGTTGAAGGTAGATATGATATACAGGTACACATACACATACATGTACATATGTACACAGTGTGATGGAGCATAGTGCAAAGGATGCTGGAAAAAATAAATAAGACCTATGACCTTATGACCTGAGGTAGGTGTATTGGTATACAGTATATACAATATGACATAGTATGAACAGCACTGAAATAGAGAATGGTGAATAAATAAATAATAAGTGGAAACCAGTAAACAGGTGGCAGAGTTACTGGGTTATTGCACAGGAATTGTTCCTGACACTATGAGTCAGAAATCAGCTGTTCATCAGAGTGATGGCTTGTGGGAAGAAACTGTTCCTGAGTCTGTTGGTTTTGGCGTACAGTGCTCTGTAGCACCTACCAGAGGGGAGAAGCTGGAACAGGTTGTGTCCGGGGTGAGATGGATCTGTAGTGATGTTTTTTTGCCCGTTTCCTGACTTTGGAAATGTATAAATCATGAATGAAGGGCAGGTTGGCACCGATTATTTTTTCTGCAGTCCTGACTGTCCGTTGTAGTCTGCTCCTGTCCTTTTTGGTGGCAGATCCAAACCAGACAGTGATGGAGGTGTGATGCAGACCCAAGTTGACAGCATCATCCACTGACTTGTTAGCCCTGTAGGCAAAGTGCAGGGGGTCCAGCAGGGGGCCTGTAATGTCCTTCAGGTGGGCCAACACCAGTCTTTCAAAGGACTTCATGACTACAGATGTCAGGGCGACGGGCCTGTAGTCATTCAGTCCAGAGATGGAGGGTTTTTTTGGGACCGGGATGACTGTGGAGCGTTTGAAGCAGGAGGGAACTTCACACAGCTCCAGTGATCTGTTGAGAAGATGGGGGCCAGCTTGTCTGCACAGATTTTCAGGCACAATGGTGAGACACCGTCAGGTCTAGGAGCCTTCCTGATCTTCTGCCTCTGGAAGAGGTGGCTCACGTCCTCTTCACAGATCTTGAGTGCGGGTGAGAGGTCAGAGGAGGAAGGTGACTGTTTGAAGATGGTGTTGGAGTGGGGGAGAGGTGTGACTCTGGGCTTTTCAAACCTACAGTAGAAACCATTCAGCTCGTCTGTCAGTCGTTGTGTACCAGCAGTGTTGGGGGATGGTCTCTTGTAGTTTGTGAGTGTCTGTAGGCTTCTCCACACTGATGCAGGGTCGTTGGCTGCAAAGCTGTTATTTAGCTTTTCAGCATAGCACCTCTTTGCAGCTTTGACCTCTTTAGTCAGAGTGTTCCTGGCCTGGTTGTACAAGACTCTGTCCCTACTTCTGAAGGCCTCCTCCTTGGTCTGACGAAGCAGCCAGAGTTTCGCTGTGAACCAGGGTTTTTGGTTGTTGTATGTGCGGAAGGTTTTAGTCTGCACACACATGTCCTCACAAAAACTGATGTAAGATGTCACAGTGTTGGTTAGTTCGTCCAGGTAAGTGGCTGCAGCCTCAAAAACACTCCAGTCAGTGCAGTCAAAGCAGGCCTGGAACTCCAGCTTTGACTCGTTGATCCATCCATTTTAGAAATACTGAGCTCATAAGCCTAATACTTTCTCCGCTATCCCCAGATAAATATGAAGACATGAAAGTTCAGCAAATATTTCTATAAATTTAATAATTTTCTAAATTTAATCCGTTTAACTGTTCTAGTCTTTAAAATGTTTGTCAACTACCCTTTTTCCATGACAAAGAAGAGATGTTGACAAGCTACAAATACATCTTTGACAAAGTTTAATTGCAATTGTTTAACTGCATTAGGAAGAAAGGGAGAAAAACCTAAAGTCAAATATAATTCAGGGGTAAAATCCGCCTCAGAGTCCACCTTCTATCATCTTGCTGGAGTCTTGCCCTCTGACAGCCCGGAACACAGTGTGAGTTCTTGATCAGATGTATTTCTGTCATAGGTAATACGTGTTTCAACAATAAAGCCAGAAAGAAAAGCCAGATGAAAAACAGCAAAGTTTGAAGGAGCTGCAGGCCGCAGCATCTACATAGCCGTTGTCATTTGTCAAGTTCAAGATTGATTTGAAAAGTATGTACTACATTACCTCACAACAATAAGATAACAACTACACTTCTTCGTTGTTTAAATTGTGGGCTATTTTTGGGTGATAAAGTTCATTTCATACCTACATTAAACAGTATTTTACACAGTATTGTAAGTGCCTTAAAGCCCAACTCCAACAGTGAAGTGTCCATCCCTGTCATTTTCTCCAACTTTCTCTCCTTTTCCCCTGAAATTTCTATAAACTGTGTTTGACTTTTTGACAGATATGCGAGTCTGTTATGTCAATACTTGACCATGACATCCTTTTTGATGTGTCTTAAACGGTAGGTTGGTATTATAGGTAAAGCACTAAGTTGGTTTGAATCTTAAAGGACATCCTAGTGTTGAACTCGAGGCCAGTTTTCCTCTTCCTCTACCCCGGCCACACATGGGGTCTGTTAGGGATCCATCCTGGGGCCGTTTTATTTTACCTGTCCATGCTCCCTCTTTGAAACATTTTTAGGAAGTATATCATCCCCTGTCACTCCTACACTGATGATTCTCAGCTGCACCTCCTACCAAAATCTAGGGATTCCCTACAACAACTGTTTGAGGTCATTAAGGCTAGATGGCAAATCTTCTTCAGTTAAACAGCAAACAGAGTAATTCTCTTTGGTCCCTCATTGTCCACAAGTTACTCCACCAGGATGCTAGGCCACCTTAACCTATATGTAGAGTCACATGCTATACACCAAGGTTATCTTTGACTCTGAGCTCTGTTTGATAAACAAATCAGTTCTGTTGTTAAAAAGTAATATTATTAATTAATAACTATTTCTAAACTTAAGCCAATTGTGTCTTTTCATCATGTGGAAAAAGTAATCCACACCTTTATAACATCACGTCTGGCTTATTGTAATTGCCTTCATTTAGGCCTTTCCCAGTCTTCATTAAATCGCTTGCAGTTGGTCCAACAATGCAGCTGCAAGAATTTTGACTGGGAACTAAAAACATGATCAAATAGCATAAACCTAAGCCCACTTCTTTTCCATACAGGTTGCAGGCAGGACTTGTTCCCTCAGTATTTCTAAAATCCTCATGTTCAGACTCAAAAAATTCTAAATTGAGCAGGCCTAAGAATGAAGTACACTGTAAAAAGTCCTTCAATGGCCCTGTCCATACGACTTCATTTTAAAATGTAAATTTCTTTCAAAAATTTAAATTTCCTTTCTATTTAAGTTACAGAAAAGTAAAAAGTGTGAAGGTTCCAGTTACTTGCCATTTTCTACCATAAAATTGATTTTTTGTACTTCCTAATAAATTGATTTCACAAAACTCAGTTTAAGGACCTATGTCCTAAGTAAATTGTCAGGACACGCCTACATTTCAGTTAGTAACCATAGCAACAGCAGAACTCATCTGGACTCAAGATGGCGGAGGAAAGTTTTTGTTTTTTAGGTGGTGGAGTTAAGTTAATGTTAATGTTACTGACATTTAACTGATATATTAGAGACATTTTGGTTGTTGACCGGTAACGTTGTTAATGTAGTTTTAATGAATGTTAAATATTTTGTCTCAAACAACTCGCTTAAAATACTCATGAAGCAGGCTTTGGAAGAAAATTACAAGAAATGAATTACTAGCTTTGACCAAATTCTTGCTAGCAAGACGTGCAGGATGGCGGGTCCTGCTTCTCCTCCAGGCTCTTAACATAGACAGCCCCCATAGAAGGAGCACCCTGTGGCATAGAGAAGAACAAAATTACAGGTTTTAATGTTAACTGCTGGGTCTGTATCTCCTGCAGTATTTCCTGCTTGACTGCTGTGAGAGAGTAAAATCAATTTTAATGAATCAAAGATTTCTGGTTTCCCACACTTTTAGTAGACATGGCTGTCCAAAAATCAAAACGTAGCCTAGTTTCGTCAAAGTATATATTTTTACAAAAATATTTTAATATTGTTATCACCTCTTTTGTGTGTGTTGCTTTTTCAGGAGACCACCAGATCTCCTCCGAGGAGCATATCAGCTACCCCACAAAGCATTGTGTGTCATTCAGGGACACATTAGCATTAAGCAGTTTTATTAAGCTTGTTTCCAAAAGGCTAGATATAATAATACCTAGGGCTGCAGCTAATGATGATTTTAGTATTCAAAGCAGGACAGGACAGGACAGGACAGGACAGGACCTTATCTCTGAGTACTATGTAAGTATTGTTAAAAAGTAAGGTTGGGTCTGTTTCTGGTTTTACTGGTCAAGTTAAACCAGTATGATTTTACGTGGGCTGACTGAACCAGCATTCGTCATGTGTAGGTTGAGAGAACCAGCAGCATGGAGATTGTAAGCGGGAGGCCTAGAATAGGCGATTTTTAAGTATTATGAAGTAGAGGCCTATGCAGAACTTCTTTAAAATTCCATTCCCGGGAAAATTTCTGAAAAATACTGCCTGCTCAATGACTTTTGTGTATTCTCCCATTTTTATTTTATGTACAGATTTTTAAATTGAACAAATATAGGAAATATTTAACATTATTTTGTATTTATTTACAGATTGTTTAATCTGTATGCCTGACAGATATGCATAATGTTACATTTGTGAAAGGAATTATGAGACACTGGGACACAGGTCTCCAGCTCCACACAGATCAATGAATACATGCTGCATTTAATTGTTGGTGGAAAAGGGGGACATCTGGGCTTTTCATTCAGTAGGCTATAAAGTATTTTATATAAGCTGTTGCTAACTGGTAAATATGTTCTTTACTGGTCTTTCCAGACTTTGAAATAAGTGGGAAAGACCAGTGGATTTGTCAAGAACCTTGATAACCTAGTTTTCCACCATCACTAATATCCAGCATTCATTTGGGGATCTGAAGAGTATGAAGTGTCTGAAAAAGCCACACACATTTTTATCTTAATCTGAACATACTGTACATTCTGTTTTTATTTTTCCTTAATAAGTGCGACCATTTCCTAATTTTGTTTGTTTGTCATACAGGGAACTGCAGAGTGCAGCGTGCATGAGGACCTGAAAATGCGGTTTGAGGATCTAGCCTATGCTCGCCATGAACCAAATGCGTGGGCATCATCATCAAGGGAATCCAGTGCTTACAGATCTTGACAATCTGGCCAGAATCTCCAGTATCCATCCAATCTTTTGATGAAGACTTTTTGTGGGACTCAATGCACTGCGCCCAAAACCAACTGCCAAGTTAATAAGCCTCAACAACAAGTTTCTCGCAAAGATTGTTGGCCTTGCACTGAAAACAGACGGAAGTTTTGTTGTTTCTTTTGAGGAATGTTGTACATTTTCTTGGCCTGATGTGTGATTTTTCAGACTGTTGTACCTGAAGGCCTTTCAAGGATTGTTTGTGGGACTCCGCACTGGGTCCTCAACTAACCTCCATGGTCATTAGTTTCACTAACAAGATTTTAAGTGTGGACAGTGAAACATGACAGTCACCCTTGCTGTCACAAACAGATATTTTTTCTGTTAATGAACATTTTTCTGTTATGATCAAGTGTTTTAATAGTCACTGAAATACACTGTCACAATATTGTATCAAGCTGCAGTTGGTAAGCTGAAGTTGTAGTATGTAAAATGTTTTATTAAGATTTAAAAGGAAAATCTGACAATATTAAACCATAACTCACAATGTATAAAAACACCTACAGTTGCAGCTTCTGCCTTCTAGCACAGCTTTTGTTCTGTTACCAGTGATGTCAAATGATGCCTGAGGCAGACTGTTAGCTGTAATTTTTGAAATAGTAAAATTTGTCCCTTCAAGATTACTGTTTATACACAGAAGAGGTGCTGGAAAGGTGTTCTACTACACATAGGCTGTGGTCAGAAGATTGTGTCAATAATTTTGCATAACTGCATTTAATGGCTTTTAATAAATGTTGGAAACCGATACGTCCTTTTCTTTGTTAAATTTATGACAATGCTAACTAATTATTTTAAGTAAATTGCACTTTTACAACAGAAAAAAATAATTGGTCAACATTTAAAGAAAATAAGTACATGAACTGATTCAAAGTCCATTTTGACAATGGCTGAATTTAATTTTTTTTGCAGTTTTTTGTAGACTCTACTTAATATTTTAGCATACACTAAAATGTTTATTACTGAGTTTTCCCAACTAAAAAAATCAAGAAGTTCACTAAACTAACAAAAAGTGGTTGGAAAATACTGCATTATTTTTTTAAGTTAGATCTAAGTAACAGATTTTACAGTGTAATTAATTGTTGTTCAGCCTGTGTTGCCTGCAATAATGCTAATTAGATCAAAACTGATCATGTATTTATCAGACATTTACCAGTGTTCCATGTTGTTGTTTTCTTCAACAATAATAATGTAGTAATATATAAATACCTTCTTGTCATATTATTTAAAATTAAAATATATCATTTATATCACGTCATTTACTTTTTGATTGGGTCAGGGTTGTTTTTGGTTATTAATAAGCTATAAAGCATTCATTAAACACAAATATCCGTCAGTATTGCCTACACATACACAGTCTATCGTACACGTATATCTTTCGTTGGCTTGAGGTAAATAACGGCCGGTATATCTAGTCACGCGACCCAATCAATTTCTACGACACGTATTGTGGAAGCTGTAGTTTGTAGCACTAGATTGCTCCGTATGACCGATACGTGTCCTGCACAATAGAACTACAAGTCCCAGGGCTCAGCGCGAGGCAGAGCGTGACCTACGCGTGTGGACAGACCATGGCGTTGAATAGCTGTGTGTGAGGTTAGCATCTGAAAAACACCTCCGGACAGACGCGTCTGCGCACTGAAAGCTGCCGACAGCGACGGCGGGGTGAAAAATAAGGATGGGGTCCCGAATCAAGTAAGAATGTTTATCCGCTGGATTCCCTGAGGCTGTGAGCAGCCTGCTGTTGTGTTAGCTTTTTTACAGCGAGTCATTGGGGAACATAACGTTAACTTACATTACAGTGCAAGGCCCTGACTTGTTGCGACACAGTGGCGGTAACGGTACTCCACTTACTGGATCAGAAAAACAAAGCGTTTTAAATGAGTGTCATGGTTTTGAGGACTATCTATCATTAGCAAGCTGATAAAACATGTTAGCCCGAAGCTTTCCGGGCACAAGTTGAGACAGAGGTGACTAGCAGTGAGTCAGTAACACGTTTGTGTATGTGCAGCTAGTGAAAACATGGTAACGGTAACTGTCAGATTGTCTTCCTAGACCGGATGCTGGATTTCAGGACAAAAGTGCAGAACAGACAGAAAGGCTTGTGTTTCCTGTAGCCTAATGCCACTCCTCTGACAGAACGTAAATATTGTAGGGCTACGACTACTGTGTCATTGGGTTTTGGAAAGTAAGACATTTTAGTCTGTTGTTTCTGATGGTGTATATGTGGGGAATGGGCTAATGAGTTATTAATTAATTATTATTGTCGGATCTGTAACATCATATTACTGAATACAATACAGTAAATACTCTTTGTGAACTCTGCTTCTTCATTCAGCAGCTTAGGGACAGTAATGGTAGACAATTTGAAGGAAACAATTTGATTAATTGAAGAAACCCTAGTAAAAATTAGCAATAGAATTTCTACACACTGCAGACAATGACATGATCAGGATGTCAGCAGAGGGATTATGGAGCTCCAGGTGTGACAGTGTCCAAACCTGTGGTGTGTGTGGGGGACTTGTTTATCATGAAGATGTGTTTCATCGGACCTGTTGTTGTTATTCATGTCAGTGGCTTATTCTTAACCATCAGCTTGCAAATTATTGGATTAATCTGGGATGTTTTCGGATAGAATGTCACTTGTTCAAGGCTGCATGGTACATTGTTACAGTATCAACATTGCAATATTTGCATATGCAATAGTGACCTTACAGAAAGACTGATGTCAAGTACGGGCACAGTCACACATGCCGGAATGCAGACGAATAGCCATCGCCTGCCCAAGCAAAATTTGGATCTTGTCGTGCTGAATGTGGGCAGTGCAGGATGTCAGGCACATCAAAATAAATTTGTTGCTTTGTAATCCATGTGAGTGGTTGTGGGTGTTGGACATGAACAGTTATTGGTCTCCTCCACCTTTGTGCGAATGTTTCATTCGCCCCTTCACTCACATAGAATAGAAGAGAACAGGAGGCAAATATTCTGCAATGTTAATGCCCTAATTAAATTACCTCAAACACAACATGCTACAGCTTTTTTTGCTACTATATAGAAAAAGTAATACTCCCAAGGTTCTCATTTTCCTTCACTAATCTAGAAGAAAGATCTGCCTATATTATATCATTTAGTCCAATTTAAGGGTTCTGATACACTGAGTTTGATCAGTTCCCAGAGTGCTCTGGTGGGGGGGGGGGGGCAATTCATCATTTTATAAAACAAACACGGCAGGCCCAACTAGTAGTCCACTACAACCTGAAAATGAGTGTTGCTTCTTTTGGTTGTTTTGGTCTTTTGATAAATTGATAAAGTGCACCCCTTCGCCAGAGCACTCTGGGAACTGAGGGCTGTGCATGCAGAGTGTCCTCTGCCTGTAAAGGGCCGCCCCGTGGCTACTGTGACAGATAATGCTGCTGGGATGCAGGAGGCAGGCGTTTAGTTACACCAGGCAGCTAATGAGTGTGTATATTCCCGTAATCAGCTGCACCAGGTTAAAAGTTACGATCAAGTGTCCGTGACATAAGAATAACACACACAAAACTTGCAGTATCCAGATCTATCTGTACATCTTGCCAGCATATAGATAAATCAGTTTGTTGCATGAGTTTGAGAGTTTTACCAACTTCAGCCTTGCTGGGAGGCCTATTTATCTTCCACCTTTCTAATAAAGCATACATTTGAACATTGTTAGAAATGGCAGATTATATGTAAATAGCACAACTGAGACACACAAGTCTATTTTTAAGGGTTTTTTTTCGCGCGCCTGACCTCTGCCGACAGCAGTGAACGCAACGCTCCAGTTCACATCAAAGGGAGAACTGAATGAAGCCCTCAGCTGTGAGGGAGCACTTTAAACTGAGTGATGACAGCAGGAATTTGGAAGTTATGACGTTTATTAATTTTACAATAGCTTAATTTCATTACAGATTAAAACAGTCAAATTTCCTACATTTTAAAATTAGCCTAATCAGTAAACTGTAGGCTGGAAACAAACAGCAACACAATGAGCGCATTTAAATAAGCCTAATTATATTAGGCCGATTGTAGAAGACGAGCACTTTGTCGCTATAATTAAAATTAAAAGTGAATTTTGCATAATAACGCGTTAGATTTAGTTCCGCTACCGGAAACACCGCTCATCCCCTGCGCTCTCCGCCTGGACCCCCGCCCGGCTAAACTATTCCCGGATTCTGCTCCAGACTCTCTGCTACGGTTCCCCCTGCTCTGTACAGCTATTCACTCTGCCTCGCTCTTCACCTGCTCAATATCCGATCCTTTTAACCTGCAATAAATATTTCTCCCTTTCTTAGTCCTGCACTTGGGTCTGCTAGTCTAGCCATAACAAAGTTAAAAACAAAGATTTGGTAATAATCACTCAGTTAGCCTAGCTATGAGAATAAGTAAACGGAGCGTTCCCTCTCTCTCTCACACATGCACACAGACTTGCGCATCCATGCCGCCCCTATCTCTCCCCCATCCGATCCCCCCTCCCTCAGGAGAACTTATTGGGCATTCTTCTGCTGCTGTTCTGCTTCTATCTATTAAATACATAGCTGTAGCTCCTGAAATTACAGCATGCTTATCGTTTAAACAATCGCCATAACAGGACCGCTGAGCGCTGCCGTGGGGGTGGGGGGCGAAGCTTCGGTTATTTGCTCTTAATTACTATCAAAGCGTCGAAGCTCAAAAAATGACATTCGGCACAGACAGTCCACAATGTGTATTGTCTGTGTGTATGGCCTACAGTGTTTACCTGGGCTGGAGGTGAAGCCAAAATGTTTTTGTATGTCTGAATAAAAAAACGCACTACACCATGTCTCAGCAGCAGTGCTGTGTCCATGAGCATGTGATGCGCATCAGAATAGCTTAAAATTTCAGTGTTTTCCCGTAGATTTAGGCTAGGTCAGCATTAGATGCACGTATTTGGTAGTGGTGGTGGTAGTGTATAAATATGTTCATAGATATGGTGTATACCATTTAGTTGGAAAAGCTAGAGCAGATAACAAATAAACAACATCTAAAAAGCTTAAAAGTCCAGTATGTAATATTTCTGAGGATACAATATGAGATCCATTAAAGCTGCAAGCAGTGTTGAGCGGGCCCTCGCCCCCCTTGCGTGCCTCTGCGCAGTGACAGCAGGGACTCTTGCATCCCACACCAGCTGACACAGCTCAGGAGTTATTGATGCAAAAATCACACAGGTGACATGTCAAAAATATCTCACAAAGTTTGCTTGAGGTCTCAGTTAGTTATTCAATTCAAAGTGGCTGATTTCAGTTAGGGTTTAGAGTATAACTCTTAAAAAACATCTTCCTCTTTAATTGTGAATAATTACTCACCAAGGCAAGAGCATTTGACAGGAACTTTGAGATGGATGTGGTCAACCTGCTATGCAGAGCAGAAATGCCTCACTATGGACATTTTTGTCCGCTAAGGTGCTAAGCAGGGTAAAAATATGAATTAGGCATAATAAATACATTTTAAAACGGGTTCTTTCAAGATGCCAGTAAGTGGTGCTATTCCTATGACTGGATATTGACATGTAAGTCTCTAAGAGGTTTACTTGTGAATTGTGGGACAGATCGGACCGTGTCTAGTCCATTTACATGCAACTTCTTTTTTCAAGGCCAGACACCAATTAAACTGCATGCCATAGACACACCGTTTGATCAATCAAAAAAAGCTTTGCAATTTAACAACGCAAGATGGGGCTACACACATTTGAAGTCGTTCGGGTTAAAGCTGTAGGAGGAGTTCTTTAAAGTATGGAGGGTCTAAATGGGGTGAAATTTTGTAAATATTTCAAAATGGCCTACCTTCCAGTAGGTGGCGGTGATGCCAACCGCTATGAAACGACAAAGATAGCCTCAGGCCCCGATCAGACAGAAAGCGGTTTGCGGGTTCGAAAACGCGAGGCGCACAGAAAAAGAGCAAAGCGCTGCGTTTTTTTGATGTTGCTAGGCAACCACTGAATCAGCTGTCCTGTCAGTCTAATCAAAGATTATAGCGCCAGCGATCTGTAATCTTTGGTTTGCGCTAATTAATAACTTTCATATTGGCAGAAACCTGATCACAACTCACAGGTCTGTGTCTTTTGTTGCTAAAAACATCTGCCAAACCCAGAGCGCCTGTTCTGGCACTGTTCTGAGTGTGTGAGGTGTACAAACACGCAGAAGACAGGGAAACTGAGATCTGTGTGGGCACATGAGATTCTCAGAAAAGGGAAACATCGCTGGTCCAGGAGCTTCGTCCTAATGATGGTCAGTCTACGTCTTATTTTAGGATGAGTCAGGGACAGTTTGTTGCAGTCTCTGGACAATTCAAGCAACTTTAAGTTCCGTCAGCACAACTGCCTGTCTCTCCATTCATTAGATTGGACAATGGGGAATAAAAAAACGCAAATGACATCGGGCACGAGTTGAATTTTTTTCAACTCCGTGCGCTCATTCAAAAACACAGGGCGCAGCAGGCAGCCAAAAATACGAGGCGCGCAGGGCGCATTAACAGCGAGCAGAACTGCCAAAAGAAAACAATTTAAAAGGCACCTCCTACTGCAAAAAACACATTCTGTCTGATCCATGGAGGTTTGTGTGTGTGGGGTGGGGGGTGTTGCGAAATATTTTCAACTTCAAAAAGGGACTGCCAGAAAGGTCACTGCAGAACATTGCATTTCCCACCAGACCTGAGGTGTGTGCAAATTTTCATGAGGAGGGAGAAAAAAAAAAATCTGAGCAAAAACAATAGGTTATGTTGACATGTCGGAATGTGGAAGCATTTTAAAGTGTCTGAGAAAGACGCAAAAATCGCCGTTTGCAGACGCTGTTCTGCTGAATTGCCTCCCAGCACATCCACTCCATTTGTGGCTGAATTCTTAGAAAAGGCAACAAACTGTCTGAACTGCTTTGACTGTTTCTGTCACTCATTTGTGAAAAGCTAAGCTAAAGCGATTAAGCTAACCACACCTAAATTTGGAGTGCACACGTATTCAAGCCTTTATGGTAAATCCAAATTGGGTCGGGCTTGATAAATTTAGCGCAAAGATACACCTGTGACAACATCCGTTTTTCAAAATAAGGCGTCTATACAGGATGCAAATAAGATTAATTGGATTATATTCACAGAAAGTATAAAACATGTTACACTTGTCCATAAAAAGTAAATGGACATATGTAATTCACTTTACCAGACCCTCTCGGGCCTCAGACCCAACCACCATAGTCTCTCCAAATCCTGACGGAAACACTGAGTAAAAAGCACATTTTGACTATTTAATATATGCAATTGTAAAACATTTGGCACAATAAATGTACATAATGTGAAAAACCTCGTTCGGCATTCGGTATTTGGGAAAGTTTTTCATTATATTGAGTTTCCACTTCGGCCAAGAACTTTCATTTCGGTGCATCCCTACTACGTTCATCACTACGTTGAATACGTACGCTCGAAGTTGAAGAAGAAAAGGAAGAAGTAATAATTAGAGCCTGACCGATTGGCAGGCCGATATTATCAGCCGATATTAGCTAATTCCATTTAATCGGCATCAGCCGTTTAACAGCAGATATATGACTATTAAAAAAGAAACATAGATTGAGATACTTCACTCATGTTATGGGTGTTGCATAGTTTGCCCACAAGAGTCTACCACACACACACTACAACACAGTCTGGTGGGATAAATTCAAAACAATAGTACAAAAAATGGTTATTAGTAATGTTGCTTGTGGTTTGCACATATTTTATTCCTTAGTGTACTGTACAGTTCAACACACCAAACAACAAATTGTTCTGCCCCAGCGTCCTGTCTTTGGTCTGGGACAGGCCAGAGATTCTTGTTCTTCACATCCTTTTCTGCCTTCATGACCTTCAGGGCATGTCTATCAAGTCAATTTACATACCGCAGCAACGCGCGCACTCACACGCACGTGCCGGTGTGTAGCAGAATGGCTGTCCACAACTAACCACTGTAGTAACGTTATAACTACATTTCCACAGAAAGCAACATAACAGCTGCAGGCTTCCGGCACATTACGCTCCTTAGTGAGATTCAAATGAGGCTTACTGTCCACAGTTTCTCTGGACTGTCCCTCAGGATCACAGCGTTAGTCCAACATCGCCGAGCGTGCTAGCCACATTAGCCGCGCAATATGCTAACACCAAGTTAGCTAACCTTTAAAATAAACAGTAAAACGACACAAAACACAGCAACACTTACAGCCTCAGAGTTTGTATTCGGGTCACGTACAGCCCACGGCGATCCATCCTTGAACCGTTACAGAGCTCGTTACGGTTGTGGAACTTTTGAAGCACTCTTTTATTAATTTAACCCGCCCTGAAGTGCACAGTATGAACATTGCGGTTGTTGCGGTGCTTGCCATCCTCCGAGGTAGGATTGACCATATTTCAATTCTGCGATTATCGCGACAGCCCTAAGTGTGCTTTTTGAAAAATGGAATTATGGTTTTGAAATTTTAGTTCAAAAGCCTGGTTATAGTGTTTAAGAAATTGATAAAATCTGTAATTCACTTTGTATTTTGTTAATTTATAAAGGTAAACTGTGTCTATTTTTGAAAGTATTGTTACTTTACAGCATTGTCCCCACACCTGCCTAAAACCTTTGCACAATACTGTATATAAAAGTTGAAACAATATCTTTATGTATATTTTAATTAATGTGTTATAGGTGAACTACACTAATGTTAACTTTATATTAATTATTTGCTGCTCCATATATTTTCTATTAACCACAGGTTTTAGTGTGCATGTGTTAAAGTTCAGGAAGAACACAGTGTAGAAAAGTACGCAAATATTGGATCAAAACAAGTTTTGGACTGTGTGATAGCTTCAAGTTGCTAATGTACTGGAATAAGGTGAACATTTTGGATAAATTTCATATACCCTTATACTGTGCTCTAAACCATCAAATAAACCTTCATTCATGCTTTGGACTCAATGGAATGCAATTTAAGTAATTAAATTTAGGCAACTTATTAAATGTTGTACTGAAAGGGATAGGGAGAGCTAAAACTTCAAACTGTCTTTACTGGCTGGCAAAGGCAGCTGCAACTTGTATTGGGAGGAAATTTCTCTGGCATGTATTACGACACCTGCACCATAGTTTCACTCAGTAACAGTTCCAGTCTGTCTACCATTTGTAATCGTTGTAAGTTACTTAACTTAATAAAAACCTCATCAGATTAAACACTATTCTGCCATAGTAAATATTTAAGGAGAATTACATAGCATTGTTTGTTTAGAATATCAAAACTAAAGTTGGAGAGAAGTGAAAGGCTCCACTGCAGTATAAATATGCTTACTTTGCCTGACTGTTGTCCAGAATATGCAAAGAACACAATAATAACTTTATTCCTTTTTTCCAGGGAGAGCCCTGAATCCACGTTTGAGGTATATCTGGAGGTAGCCCGTCTAGGCACACACAGCTCTGGTAAGTGTCTGGAGGTACAGCTAAACCTTATATATTATATATTAATTTTTTTTTTTTTTATTTTATTATGACCACTGAAACTATTCTTGTTTCCTTTGGCTGCTGATTTCCGATAGCAGGACTTGTGAAACTCTTTCACTCTTTGGTAACATTTTTGTGAATGAAGTCTGGCCACAAACAGATCAGGACAGGCTGCTGTAGATGGCAGTGTTTCAGGCGTCGATTATGCTCGCACACCTCCTCAAGAACAGGAGGCATTCATCAAGGCAAAACCAGCCATTTAGAGATTATTTAATTTAAGTTTGTGCAAAAAAGTCATAGGATTTTTGGTTAAGAAAACAGAAATGTTCTTTAATGAGGCCCAGTGTTCTGCTACACACCATTTAATACATATTTTGGACTTTACTTTAACTTTTTGTGTGTGTATTGTGTAAGTATTGGTTTCACCTTTTTGGACCCCAGACAAGTATTCATGTGAAACAGGCTAACAACCACAGTAGACACTGGTTCATTGTAAGGGGTTATAAGTCAAAGCAGTTGGGAACTGCTGGGTTAGAGCTCAATGATACATGGTGGTTCTTTTATAACGTTATAATGTTGATGTGTTGTCTCTCAGGGGCTTTTTAATTCTGCTGTATGTGACTAATTTCCTGGTTACTAAGGAAAGGTTGTCGGCTGTATTTCTAAGAATTTCTTGCAGTTGGAGTGTGTCTCTCATCATTTCCTGTTTGGTCTATAAGATGATATATCCATCTTTGTGACACACAGATCTTCTGTCTGACATGTTCTGCTGTTTTATAATGTGGAATCCTTTGGCCGTGATTGCCTTTCATTTCAGTCTGCTTTACATTTAGAGACCATTATTTAGGTATTTTTTACACATAACTAAAGAAATAATGTCAGTTATATGTCAGTATTTTGATTAATTAATGAAATGTACGCATGGGAGTTAGATATGTGGGGGATCATTTGTTTGGCTGATTATATTTATTCTTGCCAAAATATGCATTTTCTCTGAAAACACGAGGATTGCAACACCATTTTGATATGTGGAGGTGATGTCTAACATTCCTTGCATTGCTAAAAATATTCTGTAACTGTTTTCATGGGGCCAAACACTTGTAAATGTTATGTATAACTTGCATGTTGCAGTAAGGCAGGAGTCCACCTGCTGGAGAGAATACGCAGCCACAAACAAAGCAGACATTTATTTGTTTTAGTGGAAAATACACATGAGGCGTTTTAGCAACAAAATACAAAATGATATGCACCTGTACTGACTACAGAATTTGCTGTAATGAATATAGAAATGATGGGTTATTATTGCTAATTAGAGGGGGGCATATTATGCTCATTTCCAGCTCTATATTTTTATGGTAACTATGCATGATTCACTGATCAAAAAAATTCAAATTTATCTTAAACTGGCCCTTTATTCAGGCCCCTCAGTTCATCCTCCTCCTTTTACCGGCCTTTCCTTCAACAACTCATCTCTCTCGAGATTTCAGCGGGAGAATTGTCCTTGAGCGAGACTTCTTTGTTCTGTTTAAATACAAAGGGTGTCGCTTGGGATTCACTCGTAGGGATCCTTTCCATGATGTTGTCAGACACCTGGTACAGTCTGGCAACATCGGAAAAGGAAGTGCAGGGATTGGATTGAGTGCAGCGGACCTCGATATGATCACTGCTCAGGGCATTTCCCAACCAGCCAGACCTAGCGTCACCGCAAGTGGTGTGATCGAACCAGGAAGAAAGGAAAGCGAGCGGGGATGAGCGCTAAGCTAACCCAGGTCAGACCTAAGGATATTCCACTACTCAGCCTTCTCCTGGCTAATGTCCTGTCGAAGGACAATAAAATGAAATAAGAATCAGGCTAACTCAGCAACGGGTGCTGTGCCCTCAACTTTACTGAGACCTGGCTGCACCACAACATCACGGATCAAGCTATTGCAATGGACGGGCGGAGAACACAAGACTCCAGTTAGACCAGAGGATGAGGTCTCTGTGTTTACATCAGTGATGCTTGGTGCTTAAACGCAGTCAAAGTGGGTTGAGAATGTTTGATGTGAAATTTGTATTGTTGAGATTTGGCCATTTTATCTGCCCAGGGAGTTTTTGTTGCTGTTTCCATTCAAAAATGCACTACAGGAGCTGTATGAGGCCATCAGCAGTCGCATAACAAAACAACCTGATGGTGATTTTAATCAAACTGATCTTAGAACTTTACCTAAATTCCACCAGCATGTCCACATTGGGGTTGTGGCTCAGGAGGTAGAGGTTGGCTGTAAATCATAAGGTCGGCGGTTCAATCCCTGGCTCCCCCTGGTTGCGTGTCGAAGTTTCCTTGGGCAAGAGAAGATAGAAAGGCACTATACAAATACGGAGCATTTACATTTCACATCCCCACCAGGGGAACAAATACACTGGACCATGTTTTCATAAATATTATGGAAGTTACAAACTTCAAACCACGATGACTTCAGGAGTGCAGAGTGGAACAAAGAGAACAACCTACTTCTCAACGTCAGCAAGGAGATGATCATTGATTTTGGGTAAAAGGGGACAATGACACACACATGAGTCTACAGTGGAGCAGGTGAACAGTTTCAGGTTCCTGGGAATCACCATCACAGAGAAGAAACTTTATTGTCACATACATGTTGCGAAATGAATTTCCAGCCACTGTGCAGTGCCCGGGAACCAACTCCAAATCTTTATCAGTGTCTGGTCAAACGGCACTGCGTGGTGGACCTAACATGTTTTTTTGATGGTGGGGGGAACCGAAGCACCTAGAGGAAACCCACGCAGACACAGGGAGAACATGCAAACTCCACACAGAAAGGCCAGGACGACCGGGGTTTGAACCCACGAGCTATCGACTGGACCACCATGCCACCCAACCTGACATGGTCATCTCCACGCTGGTGGAGAAAGCTCAGAAAGAGATTTATTTCTTAAAGTAACTTAAGAAGGCTAAATCCCCAGCATCCTGACTGGAAACAGATCGTTGGTACCCATCTCCCGAGCATCAGCAAGGTGAGGTGAGGTGCCTACACAGAGCCCAAAGGATACTAAAGGACACCCAGCCACAGCCTGTTCACCCTGCTGCCTTCTGGGAAGAGATACACAAGTAGCTGCTGTTATACCACCAGACTGCAGAGCAGCTTTTCCCCCCAGGCTGTGACACTCCTAAATTCATCCTATCAAAATAGCTTTATTTCTTGTTATTTATCCACCCATCTGCAGTATATAAAGTTTGTATATATAGTTTGCTTTTGTGAACAGCATAAAGGGAACTACAACTTCATCTATACAACCCTGTGTTGTCAAATGATAAATGAATCTACCTTAATTAGAAGTGCATTTATCAATCTAGAAAAGTAGTGGGTTTTTTTCAACTGCCTGGCTAGATTTTGGCTTAGGTGGGTAGGTAGATTTATTTTTTCACAATACAACATGTTATAGAGTGAAATTGAGTTTGAAACTCACTTCTGCTACGTAGCAGACAATATACATTAATACAGAAGCAATTATAAAAATGGTAAACAGAAATAAACTATATTCAGTGGAGCAGTGCTGAGGATGAATTTGAGTATAAAGTCTGAGAGCTTGAGGGAAGAAGCTGCTCTGCAGTCTGGTGGTACAACAGCAGATACTTACTCTTCCCAGAAGGCAGCAGGGTGAACAGGCTGTGGCTGGGTGGCTACTGTCCTTTAGTATCTTTTGGGCTCTGCAGGCACCTCACCTCACCGATATCACTGATGCTCGGGAGATGGGTACCAATGATCTTCTGGGCAGTTTGAATCACCGGCTTAAACCCACTTGTCTTATGTCAAAATGAATGTGCCCCATTAGGTCCTCTTCTCTTCTCCACATTCATTTATTTTCTGTCCATTTCTAACAGGGCTGGAGGTGCAAAGGCAGTTCCCTGAAGACTATACAGACCAGGTTTGAAATGCATAGTATTCTGTACTTCCTTTTGTTTTTCTCTGTGTCATCTCCTCGCAGCTATTCATTGGTTTCTTTTTCATACATTTCTATCTTAGAGTTGTGAAAAGATGGAAAACTGAAAATACATGATACCATTTTCTTTGGTTATTTTGGATCATTTCCTCCACATTATATCCTTCCCAATATCTCCTTTAAATGTTTTTCACGATAGTACAATGCAACATTATTAGTAGATATTGGTAATAATACACTACTGTATTCTATAATCCTTTATCTGTGTCCTACAGGAAACTTTGCAGACTGTGCCCAAGTTCTGCTTCCCCTTCAGCATGGACAGGTACACACACACACAAACACACACTTGCAAAGTTTAACATTTATAATTACATTATAATGCATTATAACAGTGATTAGTGTATTATAAAATAGGTATAATGTATTACTACTACTACTACTGAAAGAATTATTAGACTATGATCCTTGCCAACAAATGTTTTAAAGTCAGTCTGACCTGCTGATTCCAGTCTCTGTAACAGCATAGTGACAGCATACACAAACATTTCTGTAACTTTTCTTTAATTAAAAAGTTCTTTCTTTATTAGAACCCATCAACACCAGCATTGGCTATTGGCCCAGTTAACTGGACATTCATAATAAAACACTGACTATTAAAAACTTTAATTTTCTCCAAAACTGCAACAGGTTAAAGGACCATTTCTTACTCAGACACATCTCAAAATAAAAAGTGCTCCAGGCCCGCATGGAGCTTTCTGTACAAATAAAATTCAACTGCTATATGTCACATGACTAGGGATGAAAGGATTACCGGTTTAACAGTAAACCACGGTAACATTCCCAACGGTTATTATTACTGTACACATTTTAATTACCATGATAACCGGGTACGGTTAACCACGCTGTTATAATCTCACGACAAACACTGTCCAGCGTCTCCCAGAAGCAGGCGCGCATGCGCAGAATGCAGCGCGGGTTTCTTTGGGTCGCGGCGGAAGACGACGCTGCAGAGACTTTTCAGTCACTCTGAAGTCCGGTCGTATTTTAGTTTTTATGAGAGTGCTTATAGTGAACGCAGGGTGAGTGAACTTTTAGCTTTGGTTTGTCTCTCTGACTTGCTAACGGCGTGTAAACTGAAGCTCTCAGTGTTGCTGCTCTTGTAAAAAGGCTACACGTTGTTCTGCTGCTGTGTGCGTATTCGTCCGCTGCACATGAGAACACGTTACGCAGTTTAGCCAGCCAACCAGCATCTCTAGAAACGCTACAGACTGCTCTGTATTTATGTCAGTTGTTGGGCTCATTGCAGTTACTATCACTGTCTTCTAAACACTTATTTGTTTTCATGTAATTGTCCGCGGGGTCATTGTATTAACTATATAATATAAAATCTTTATAATGCACACTGATGATTTTTACATGTTTACAAAAGTTATTTTCTGTTTTATTTTTATGCAAACAGTAGTTTTCAATATAAAACTTGTTGAAATGGTTTCAGTGTGTGTATCAGTACACATTTTTACAATCCCCTGATAATACTGATAACCGTGATCATTTTGATCATCATTTTGGTCACAATAATCGTGATATGAGTTTTTCATACCGTTTCATCCCTACACATGACATAACCCACAGTCTTTCCCAGAGAATGACAGTGCATCTGTGGTAGGGATGGGGGCTTATTTGTATATTTTATTTGAAAATATTTATAGTACATATTCATATTTTTAGTAGATTATTTATTAACTCGCCATTTTAATTCTATTTTAATTTAGTGTTTAATCACCAGCTGCTTTTATCTGCTCATCTTGTTTTTCCCTGTCTGCTCTGTTGACTTTGTTCATCAGCAGTTTTATAAATTCACCCAAAAAAAACACAACTCACATTTTTAATTTTTTCACTCCTGACTCCATTTTCACAGCAGCAGGTGAGCTGCATGTGTGCATGTGGGCTTGTTGTGAATCAAGTCGCCTATCGAAATGTTTAAGCCTAGTGAATGACATCGGCACCAACCTGTGTGTTCACTGTTGCTTTACCTGGGCCGTGTCCGTGTCTTCTAACATGAATCATCATGTGGCCACCGGCACAGAATCGGCTAGGTGAGACTAAACAGCCCAATCACCGGCTGATAGATCAATGCATCTCTTTAAGTTATTAATAAATGCTTTATAATGTGTTCAAGTACTGACTCTTTGAGTGCTTATAAAAATTATTTTGCATTGCTATAAGCACACAGTATAGCACATTATAAGTATGTTTATACAGTAAAACTTCAATTAATAGCCGAGTCCCAAACAGCCGCCTGCCTCCTTAACTGGCCTGGTGTGGGGACACATTTTAACAAATAAACGCCTGCCTTAATTAAACGCCTGTTCTGGTTTTTAAAGAAGGTCTTTGGATGTATAAAACCTCTTAAACCCCGCGGGGTCGCCCCTTTACCTGCTTCTAAGCTGCTTAGATCCTTAATACAAATAGGCTGTTATGCTTAAAGGTATGATCAATATGTCAATATGGACATGCTGCACATCGTTAGACCGGTTAGATTCTCCACAATACCACTGTTAAGTTCATTTAACGGAAACAAGACCCAAAGTTTAATTCTTCTAGATTTACCGGTGTAACCTGCATGGATAGAGAGGAAAAGGGGGAATAAAATGCTGACTCACGTTAACTTTGAAGCGCTCGTTAAGTCCGAATGTGCCCGTTCCTTGATTATTTATATTCCTTTCGTCTGTATCAAAAGAATCATAACAGCTTTTCATAAAAATAAATCCAAGTTATGAATCCTGTCATGTGAAGTCCATCGCTGTCTGTCTGCTAACTTCTGTCACACTTCTCTCATCCTGCGCCGTGTTGTTGTTGTCGTGACGTTGCTGCCTTCAAAATAAAAGCGCATAAGCCGTCTGTCGGAGCTAGATCAAATGAATGACGTGTATTTGATATTATTGGATCATTTTTACATAAATATTATTCTGTTTGAAATAAATAAACTGTTTCATAGTAGTTTCAGTTTTGTGCAAAAAGAATTAAAAGGTCTGTTCCATATGGACACCTGTCCCAAATGAAGGCATGGTCAATTCAGTGATTTTTAGCAAATAAAAGCCTGGGCTATTATTCAGAGTTTTACGGTAATCCATTACATGGGCATCATAGAAAGTTTTACAGTTTTAACACTCAGGGTTCATAATACTAGTGTTATGTCCATAGGTTCGTTTTGCAATATGAGCAGAAAACTAGGAAATTAGTACTTTCATGTGCAGTATAGCCCGACCAATACTGGATTTTTGCAGGTGATATCGATATTTGGTAGTTTAAAAAAATGCTGCTAAAATGGCAGTATATTGCATGAAAAGTAGTAAATCTTTGCAGCAAGTTGCGCTGAGCCGCGGTGTTGGTCAGTGGCACAACCCTCCTGCATCCCTTCCCCTATTTTGGCACACATAAGTCCCAAAAAGCCAAATTGGTACAGGCGAGGAACAAGTCTCAAATTCAGTCCATTCTTCAAATTAGTTTCAGCAGCAAGTCATGTATATTCATTTGCTTTTGCAGTCTAACAAAAGATGAATCCAAATCTTCTGGGTGACAGTAGAGTAAATATGGAGACACACACTATGGAGCTGTAGATCCTCAGTTAATTAACCTCTCTCTCTCTGCTGGTTCAGTATTTCATCTTTTTATTACACTTCATACCAAACACTGTGTAGTTTACCACAGTAAAATAGGTAGATGTCCTACAAGAACTGTCCTCCACACACAGGACAGAGCATGGTGAATAATGATTTGTGCTCCCTCTCCTCGTTCTCTCTCTCACCCCGCAGCCTGACAGTCAACCAGGTCGGCCAGAACTTCACATTTGTGTTGACTGACATTGAGAGCAAACAGAGATTTGGCTTCTGTCGCCTCTCCTCGGGTGCCCACCACTGCTACTGCATTCTCAGGTGAGTCTGTGTGTGCAGTCAGTATTTGCCCCTAGCTTCAGGAAGTATTCAGTTGGTAATCTTATAGTGTCCATAGATTAGAATCTTTACAGAGGTGAATATGGGAAATGCTGATGAAAAGCTACTAACCCCTCCTGCTTTAGTGCCAAGCAGTAATAGTTTTGGACAAAATAGCTCCTACATTTAGTCTTACTTACAATCTAGCCACCAAGTCTGTGTATTTATTGGAATATATTTTAAATTAAAAGCAAGTCATATCAATTAAAACATCAGGATCATGAATGAATTATAAAAACAACATTTACAGTACCAGCATTCTAGAAGTGTCTGCATCATAGTGTTAATCTATTTAGCAGAAATGTAGCTCTTTACAATGTAAGGATGTTTGATAAAAATGTCCCATGAGCTTGTTAAAGGTAGCCCAACGAAACCTATCACTCCTCTAACAACCAGATTAACCAGATACATTTCACAACATTTACCAGTCCAAACTGATGGGGGATCAATTTTGAAAATGTTAAATGAAACAATCTTTAAGATGTGCTGTTAGCCCCCCATTCTGTAATTCACAAACTTTGTAAAAGGACCGAACCCTTTTTTTGTTTGTCTCAGCTACCTGCCCTGGTTTGAAGTCTTCTACAAGCTGCTTAATATACTTGCAGATTACACCATCAAAGGCCAGGTAAGTCATGGACAGGTAACTCATCTTGTTATGTGGACATGGGGTTGTATCAGATTTCTTGACTTAAGTCAGGAATTTGTCAGCCAATTTCTTCTCTTTACATGTGGCTGTACGACAGCTCCCATCAGTATTTTGCTTTTGAGTAAAATTAAAACACGTTTGTCACATTGGCTTCAGATTATGGAGAAGTATAAAAATGGCAACATGGAACAGACTGCTAGTTTCTGTTTACATTTATTTATCACTTTAGACCTTCTCCACTAGAACAACTCACCCATCTCCTTGATTGGAAGAATAGTAGCAGAAAAAATGTTCGTACTACCAAAAATACATTTAAAAAACTCTGTGACTAGAGCAGCCTACTCAGAAACTCACTCTCTGTCTATGTGAGGGCAAAAACTGCTCAGAGAAATGACCGACAGCACATAAAAGCGGTAACTGTAGATAGCCCTGAGTACCAAACTAATTGTCAGTCAGGATTTTAATTCTGACATACTGGAAACCTCTGCTTAATATTGTGCTATGAAACGCACTGGATCAATGAGGAATTTGAGTAAGAGTTGTGTTTGTATTTTTTGCATGCGGTCTTGTATTTTTTTAAGCGGCCATTGCATGGGTTTTGGACTTTCTGATTGTTTCAGGAAAGCCAATGGCAAGAGCTCCTGGTGTCACTACATACTCTCCCTATCCCTGAGCCTGGAGTCCCTGTTCATCTTGGTGTGGTGAGTCTGACTTTACCACATCACATCTAAATGAGCTCAGTTTAACCTGGAAACACTGGAAGTTATCTGTTTTCTTCCTAAAGACAAATAATGTCACTGAGATCTAATCACCCTGTCAACATAAGGACAGGCTGACATTTTTACTTTTCAAGTTTAAACTACTACCACTACAGGATTACCACACTAAGGGTCGGATTTACTAACATCCCGAATAAAGACTACTAAATTTCCTGTGCATTCTAAAATATTGCACATGTAATTTTAGTGCCTGTTGTGGGTGATTAACTAAGAATTCTTGTTTAGATGACAACAGGTGCAAACACAATAGAGGTGGCTGTATTTAAATGAGGGTTTTGCGTGTTTTAATGGTTTCTGCCATGTATGTGGAAATCGTATGTATCCTGCCCATCCTGCCTGGGATAACACTAAGTACTAGGGACAGCAACCTGGGAAAACCGCTTTGGCAAACCCCATCAGAAAGGGGGGCGGGGTGGGGCGTGGCATGGCGTTCAGCAGAGTCTCCAGAGGAAGAGTGATCCACGTGTGGTTAACTGACGATCTGGTGAAGAATGGTGAGGAGGACTGGGGTTGATATACTGCAGGAGCTTGATTAGTGGCATGAGGACCAGGTGTGTAGTTGGAGCTTGGCTGCAGGAGCCAGAGAGTGTAGCCACGCCCAGACAAACAGAGACAGACAGAAAACACAGGTAAGGGGGGAACAAAAGAATACAAGGTAGTGGGGAGATACTGCAGTACCACAACACCAATATGGAGACGAAAGACGTCATTCTCCGTGCACACCATTAGGAGATCAGCTTACATGTTTGCTTGTGATAGTTTGCACATGTTTTTACTCACGCAAACCTTAAGTAAATCCGGCCCTCTGTGTTATTATGCATCATCATACATGTCTATTTCATAGGAATAGAGAAAAAAGAGTCAAACTGGCACTGATCCTCTTCTTTTCTGTTTGCTCCAGCATTCCTTCTTCACTGTGCCTGACACAGGGGAACTCCCCAGCATACCTGAGAATGTGAGTGTTGTCATCTCCCCCACGTGCTGAAATCCCATCCCAGTCAAACCTCTAAACAACTTACATTTGGCTAATGAGAAACTCACTGTTAGTACAATTGATTTGTATCTGAGAGCAGTTACAGATCAGGTCAGTTAGAGACTACAGACAGGTTTCTGAGTGACATAGCCAGTGAAATGTGCAGAACCACAGAAATGTTAAAAGAATAAACTTTATTCATTTCATGGTCAGACAGTTTACACTGTTACTGTGTGTTCATGGATGTTAAATGAATTGTGCAAATGTTGAAGAATGATGTCATGAGTATAGCAGTTCTGTGTTGTCTGGTGGTCAACCAAAAAACTTAACAGTGTCGAAGGTTTCATGTAGTGTTCAGACATGGCTGGGCCAGTGTTGTAGAGACAGATCCATATACTGTAGAGAAAGATGCTTTAAAAGTATGATTAAAAACTTCAGTTCTGCAACTAAACTAAGCTTTTATTGCTCCCCCAATATTAACAATAGGCCTTTACTGTCTGTACCTCTGTGTGTATATTGTGTAGGCTGTCTCCCTCCCTCTCTCTCTCCTCTCTCTCTCTCTCTCTCTCTCTCTCTCTCTCTCTCTCTCTCTCTCTCTCTCTCTCTCTCTCTCTCTCTCTCTCTCTCTCTCTCTCTCTCTCTCCCGGTCGAGGCAGGTGGCCGCCCACCCTAAGCCATGGTTCTGCTCAAGGTTTCTGCCTCTTAAAAGGAAGTTTGGCTCTTGGTGGGAACTGTTGGGTTTCTGTAAATAACATCACAGAGTACTGTCTAGACCTGCTCTTTTATGAAAAGTGCTCAGAGATCACGTTGTTGTGATTTGGCGCTATATAAATAAAATTGAATTGAATTAATTAGCACTAAGTGTCTTTAACAAAGATCCTCCTCACAGCACCCTTAGTTGGGAGTTTATTCGTGTAAAGCTGCATTTTGCTAGCTAAGACCTACACTACGACACATCCTGGAGGGGCGTAGATGTGAATAAGGTCAAATAGAGTATCGTTGAAGTCCTTATCCCGTATGGAAAGGATTTGAGGACATCTTCAGGCGGACGTGTATAAAGTTTTCTTCCTTTCCAAGTATCAACAAGGATGTTCGTTTGCGTTCAGCAGCCCATTCTGCACCTGCGCAGTGTGTACCACAGTCCCTCTCGCGGATCAGCGGTAACGTGTTGGGCACTGGCAGTAATACTATAATATTACTTCCCAGTAAAGAGTAATGGTGTAGTATTCTGATAGACTAATATTTATTTTCTTTTTGATATTGCTGATGATCAGTGACTGTCTCGACGGCATGTCCAACAGCAAGGTTGCACAGATTTATGGCCGTGGAAATATCCGCGCTTGTGGGTCGTGCGCATGCGCAGAACGGCTAAATAGCACATTTCGATAGGTAGGATAAATCGACAGAACCCAGGTGTCCTGCCGAAAAGTGATCGTCTACCGAAAACAGATGTTTAGTAGGTCTATGTGGAATATTTTTGTTTATATTTGGAAATAAAATGAAGACAATTTTGCAATTATCCTTATGACTCTGCATTATTTTACTTGCTGTGTAGGCCTACCAACCAATCCACTCTTTTTTACCTGTTAAAATACCTTTAAATGGCCAATGGAAAGTGATTGAAGAGACTGGGCAATACAGCTCCAGCAGACGCCAATCACTTTTCGGCACGACACCTGCAGCTGCTGCCAGTGCTTGTGGCGTTATGGTGCGTTCCAGTTGACCTGGTTGTCCCGACTTTCCGAGTTGGAAATCCGACTTCAGGGGGTGTTCTAGTTGAAAGTTCCAACTGGGAACTCGGAAATTCCAACTTCCCATGTCAAATGGAACGCACCAATACCTGAAGTCGGATTTCCGAATCGGAAAGTCGGGAGAATCGCACTACCCCGACTTTGTGATCCAAGATGGCTGTCGGGGTATCAACAGTTAGTGAAAGCTGTAGTTTATACTGTTTATTAGCACTTCTGTGTACTTGTGTCTCATAGAAATGTTCGTACACAAAGTGCTGTCCAACAGCTGTCTGTGGACGTGTTGCTACAGTGTTTAGTGTGAGTAAATGCGGCATAATGCGTTTTTTAAATCAACCGGCATATCAATAACTAACCTGGCTAGTTGTAAACAAACAGCTGGCCGAGCGAGTTTTTCCGACTTGTTAACTGGAACGCCGTCAACTCGGGTGTGACGTCATTCCCAGCTCCGACCTCCGACTTCCGAGGTAAATGGAACGCGAGTATACGCTAAGTAACTAGGTAATAACTATATTATTTCTGGGCAACTTGCCCAACACTGAGTTGACAATAAGGATCGGATAAATTGGGTATGTTTTGATTATTGCTTGTTATAGGCTATGTCGAATGTTTACTACGAATTTGTTGTCAATTGATCACTTATATAGCCTATATAGGGCCTACACTTTGCTGTATGAATGGTTGCTTTTTAAGTCGTCCTGATGTTAAAGGTTTTGGCACGTTATAAATTAATTTCTTGTGAATTGTCGTGACACTGTTTGTAAGGCCTTTTCAGAAGGCTTTGATCCGCGGGGTCGCTCTGCGCTCCTCATCAACAGACAGGCAAACAAGCGCTCCGCAAGGTAACCATGGCAACGGCTTCTGTGAAACTGGCGCGGTCGTTCTCGTCTCACGCACGCGCCCGCCCGCTGAAATGTCAAACTTTTTCCTACAGTTTATCAATAGACAGAGACTGATCTGCTGTTTGATCTGAGTTTCCTGAATAATATAACCACCAACAATATAGCCACCAGGTCTTAAAAGGGCAACAATCTTTGCTGCCTTCTCTTATTCATTAAAAAACAAGTCTATTAACTTCTACTAAACTAATACTAAAGTTAGTAGTTAACTTAGACTGTTGAAGTTTGGTTAAAAACAAATACAAAATAATAATTATTATAGAGAGGATGCCATGGTGCAGTGGATTACAGACTTGTCTTGATTCCCACTGCAACACATCCATCAAACGTATTGGCATGGTCCTGTTTTACCCTCCATGATATAATAGAGCCGCTGCCAGTTTTATCGGGGTGTGGGGGAGGTCTCAGTATATTTTCCTGCCTTTTTGCCTTTTGCCAATCACATGCCTGACAAATACATGAAAGGTTTAGATTAGATCTAATAATTATTACTTTCTAAAAGGTAATCAGTTTGATCTAGAAAGTTATAATTTTTACCTTATAAATGGTAGTAATGAGAAAGCAAGTTATTCTTTTGGCCTACAATGCTGTAATAATGCAGCAGGAGAACTGTCATTTTTATTTTTATTAACTTGACCAGATTTAAATAACGTGTTGGTGTTTGTACTTGTCAAGTGAAACAGCTACTGAATACTTTCTGTGCAGTTTTATGACTTGAACCACAGTTTATACCATTCATACTGAATCATGTGCCCTCACAACTAACTCTCTTGTTTTTCTCTTATTGTGTTTGACCCTTGCAGAGAAACCTAACAGAGTACTTTGTAGCAGTAGATGTCAATAACATGCTTCATCTATACGCTAGTATGCTTTATGAACGTCGAATCCTCATCTGCTGTAGCAAACTAAGCACTGTAAGTAGAGTCCACCTCCTGTGTATTTTCTCTTCCACAGTTCTGCCCACGTTGGTCTCTTTAGAAAAGTCACTATTTAAGTAATGAGAAGGTCTTTTATTAATCGATATATTGCAATCAACTGTATTGTTTTTTTTAGATGTCCTTTTTGATACCTATAAATTTATGAAGTTTACTTAACTAATAAATGTTGCTATTTTGAGGTGCTTTTTTCCCTGACCTTAAATCTACAGTATTAATCAGTATAAGTGAAGCCCTGACTTGGAAATTGTAATCATGCCAAGCCGATATTGCCAGTTTGGATATCAATAAACCAGTGCCGGACAGTACATCTGTTGATATCTGAGAAACTATAAAGGGGTCTATATGTTAGAAAAGTAAGAAGAGCTATGATAAATGGATTAAACCTGCACATCATCATATTTTTACTGGAAAGCACAGAACACAGCGTGAGTCTCAATGTCAACATTTCAACACATGTTTAAGGGATGTCAAGATAACACAATTTAATATATCATATACAATATATATATCAATATTCATAAATCTCTGACCAAAATCAAAACTTTAAATGTGTTCTAGATGAATATTTGGCTACACTGTGGTATTGACCTTATGCGGCCTGTGGCAGGAATGTCCTGTTTCCTGTTTTGTCTCTTAACTTCAGGTTGCTTTTGTTGGCTATAGTAAATACAAATCCGAAGTTGCAGCCCCGTTTCACAGAGCCTGCTATACATTTATATAGACTTCATTAATTCATTAACTAAATGAATGCTGTGCAAAGACACATGGATGCACCTTAAACAATAATAATAATTTATAATGTACTGTATATATTATATTTTGTTTTAGTGATTGTTTTTGTTTCTGAATTGCATTTTAAACTGTCAGCTGTCTAAATAACTGTTTATATAGAGGAGCAATGTGACATTACATATTATATTTGATGTTTGTCCTTGTTCACAGTTAACAGCTTGTGTCCATGGGTCTGCAGCCATGTTATATCCAATGCACTGGCAACATGTTTACATTCCTGTCCTGCCTCAACATCTGTTAGATTATTGCTGGTGAGTATGCTGGCTGTCTTTCTTTCCTCTGCTTAACAAAGGGGTACTTTCTGCACAGCTAAACACACCAGTGACCAAGAATGTACGCACATGTCTTTATACCATTGTTGTTTTTAAGTTTGATAATGATGTTTTGTCTACATGTTATGATGCTGTCTTGATAATTGAAATTATTTTGCTCCTTGCTACTGCCAACTCCCCTCACAGATGATTCATGTTAAAAGTGTTCTAGCTCAGTGGGTAGGGTTTTAATCAGGGATGGCAGAGCCTGAAAATTCTGAAAAGGCACTGAATTCATTTTCAGGGGGGCAAAGCACTAGATGGTAGGTCTTAAATAATCAGTATAACAAAAGTCATAAATGCTAGTTCTAAAATGTTTGTGTGTGTGATTGAAGGCTGTCAGGAGACAGCATACACACTGTTACTAATGCTAGCTCCGGTAGCTAGAATGCTCATCAGCTCAGAATGGACAAGTGTATACTGCTTATTCAGGCCCAGATTGAAGTCATTTATTTAATTATATCATTAGGAATTATTGAATACATATGGAATGACAGTACTGACAATAATAATACATATTTCTAGGCCATTTTGTCTCTTCTGGTTTTCCATCATACTTTCATACTTATGTAAATGAAGGATGAAATAAATAAATTGCATCCTGTTAATATGAAACAGTGGCTGTGTTGAGTTTCATGACTTAGATAGAATTGTAGAAACTCAATTGACAAAATGAGCAGAAACAACAAACAGTATTTTAATTAAATAGAGAAACTGAGAACAGCAGAATGTTAAGTATGACTGTTGTACTGATGGATCTAAAAAATGAAATATGTCATTTTTGTCAGGTTATTGTATCCATCTGACTGTGTAGTAAACGTTGGATTGTGGTAAACATTACTGTCGTTGGGGCTCATACCATGCTGCTGGAGAAATGTTACTGAGGTTTGTTAGGCAGCTCTTACCCTGCGTAACCATGCCAATGTGTCTTACATCAGAAATTGAGTAATATTATTTTTATGTTAATGGCACGTGATCTGTTAATAAGATTTTCAACTGCATAACAAACACAATGATACAAAACAACTTTACAAACATGACTCTATGTTCTGTTGTCATTCAACATACAAGAGGTAATGGATGTGTAATTTTAAGTTCAGATCTAGGTGAGCTGAGGGAGCATTTGAAGAATGTTTATTTGACAGGCAAAGTAGGGCTGTAGGGCCAAAGTATTGATCTTGGGCATAAATATTGTAACTATGAAACCGGCTCTATTTTCAGTGCCCCAATGCCCTACCTCATCGGAGTACATTCCAGCCTGATGGAGGTAAGGTTTCTATGACACAGCAACAATGTCATTCAGGATTTGGTTGTTACGATAAGTTCCCTTTGTTTATATTGATCTCTGCTTTAGGAAGAGATTGGAATCAAAACATTAGCAGTGGGATGGATAAGTTGTTAGTATGCCAGCTTGCTTAAGAAATATAACATGGTTAAAAAGAAAGAGGGTCTATTAAAGTATTTATACATTTTATCTAACGTAGATTCCATATAGGAAAAATGGGAGGACAAATATAGAACACAGAGATATTTATTTTTAAAGTGGCTGATGAAGATTCCCTGAATATCAACCCACTTAGAATGTTTGTTAAACACCACTTTGTTCTAGAAGGATAACTTGCAAACAGAAATGATGATTTTAAAAAAGATTATTTAAGTGTAGAATCTAATACATTTCATATAATAATTATATTCACGTGTATATATGAAGTAGCATTCAGAATTTCCTTTTCTTGATCTTTTGATGTTTTAATTAATTGAAGTTATTAGGCCTGCTGATATATGTTTGTTTGTTAGGATGTGTAGGTTTGAATTTGTATTATGGTCTGTCAGTGTTATTTGGGCTCTGCTTATTGATTTATGCTATGGTTGTGTTCATTATAAAAAAGAACAGTTTTACCCTGCTTCATCTGGTACCGACAGCAGTTACATGCACAGTGACTCTGTGTCTGTAGACTCTTGTCAGTATACTCTGTGTTGCTTGTAGAAAGTTCGAGGGATGGCTCTGGATGATGTGGTGGTCCTGAATGTGGACACAAACACCCTGGAAACCCCTTATGATGACCTGCAAAGCCTGCCCAACGATGTGGTGAGGAACCATTGTACAGAGCACAAGATGTTTTAGGAAAACCGTTTTTAACATGGATGGAAACATTCACAAATAAAAATGTGTTCTCATGTTTCAGGTTTCATCTTTAAAAAGTCGCTTGAAGAAGGTTTCAGCAACAACTGGGGACGGCGTGGCTCGAGCCTTCCTCAAGACTCAGGCGGCACTGTTCGGCAGCTACAGGAACGCTCTGCAGATTGAGCCGGTCAGTACATACTGCAGACCAGAGGCATGAAGGATGCAGGAAACAAAGAGACAAAGAAGTTTATGTTGATCCTTTCATTTGGGTTTGGGTATGATGGCACACCCAAAGTCCTGGTACCACCTCTGGATACGGGCACACCCTATGCCTGTATCCTTAACTTTTGATCAAATGCCTGGGCTACTGGGCACTGAAAATAAAATGTTGAATGTGTTAGAGACACTTTCTGTGTTTTCCCACGTTTTTAGGAAGAACCAATAACATTTAATGAGGAAACCTTTGTGAACCATCGTTCCAGTGCCATGAGACAGTTCCTCCAGAATGCCATCCAGCTGCAGCTCTTCAAACAGGTTGGCATACTTTCTCATACCTCTATTTCTCCCTTCCTCTTACACTCTAATACATTTTGTGGTTCAACCTTCAGTTCATTGACGGCCGCTTGGACCTGTTGAACTCAGGAGAAGGTTTCAGTGACATCTTTGAGGAGGAGATCAACATGGGCGAATATGCAGGTGAGTCAGCAGGTGTTAGTGTGTTACGGTTTAAACAGGTCCTCTGAAATGAATGGAGTGCACCTATACTGCTTATCCATTTAAAGGAAGATAACTTAAATAACAGGAGGAGACATGATGTGTGTTTTGTTGTGTTTGACATGAAAGCTAACAGACCACGCAAATGCGGCCCACCCATTTTTAAATTTGTTCAGTTTCCTGTTTTGTCTATAAACTTCTGGTTGCTATTGCTGGCTATAGGTAATGCAAGTCAGACGTCTCTGTCCTGATTGGTTCAGACAGCTATACATTTCTCAAAGTTGGGAGCACTTCCACATCTATGAGGAGGTCATGACATCACCACAGACATCAGATTAAAAAGACTATCCTTGGAGCAAAGTTAGCCCCTGAGTTATCGCGCTTACAACGAGCTTACTGTGTGTGTTAAAGTAAATGTTTGTATAGTTGAATATTTCAAGAGATGTTTAACTTATCAATACAATGATTTAAAGATGGTAATATTATTTACATTCTCACAAACAATCGCTAAACCAGGTGATTTTTACCTAACCCTGTTTTAGTAACAAAATATTACACACATTTTAAACAGCCACTCAAACAACTTCTGTTGTGATAATAAACACATAATAACACTTTTAAAACAGTAAGATGACCAGCTGTGTGGGGCGACTGATCAATTTAGAGTTGTTTGTCAGACTGCTGTAGAAGCTCTGTCAGCCCTTCACGCTGTACCTTTTTATTATAACACTTGGTAGGTTGTGGTGACACATTCTCTCACTTTTGGTGTAGACAGGAAGTTAAAAGGAAAAAACACTGGCGTTGAAGCACAGCCTTGGTGCTGAAACACATAAGGTCAATAGACAGGATACCACTGTCTGTTATACACTGCAGTAATCAGATTCCAGACTAGATTTCCTAGACCTTCTCAGCTAATACCCAGCATACCACTACTTGATGTTGTTGACCTTTTATTGTTGTGAGCCCACAGGCAGTGACAAGACCTACCACCAGTGGCTGTTCACTGTGAAGGTGAGCTAGTCTGAATGCAGTTACCCAGACAAACAGCACATTAACCTAAGAAGTGCTGCTAACAGCAGGAAACCGCAATGTGAGTGCATGCCTGTATGTCTGTCCATCTATCCATCTCAACAGCCACTTGCCATAAAACTCACTATGGATTTGAATGCGCCCCAGAAGATGATTCCTAATGATTCTGGTGACACACTGTCCTTTACCACCTGCACCTGGTCAAATTTTCCCCTCCGCTAATATTTTGGACTACAAGTGGCCAGATTTTATTAAAATGTGTTAAAGATTTTCATCCACACCATATTTCTCTCCAGATTGAGTCTTATTGCTTTTGGAACTCCTTGACTTGTGTTCAAACTCCACCATCAGGCCAAACTTCTATACTGTACACAAGAAATATAGAAATTTAATCCTGCTGTTGGTGGAGCTTTAGAGCTGCACTCGTGCACCTGTGCAGGATGTCCATTTCATAAGACCAACCCTTTCAGAATACACTATCGCCTGTCAGGATAACTGATTGTGGTACATCCCATCACTAACCGATTTTCTGTAAATGTTTTCTGACAGAAAGGAGGCGGGGCTATCCTCAACACAGTGAAGACCAAGGCAAACCCAGCCATGAAGACCGTTTACAAGTTTGTAAGCATGTTTCTGGCTTCTGTTAAAAACCAGAAAATTAACTGTTAGTTTAAAATAACAACTGTAGTGATCCATCTTTGTTTATGTTTGTTTGACAGGCTAAGGACCATGCAAAAATGCGTATCAAGGAAGTCAAGAGCCGGCTTAAGCAGAAGGTATGTAGCTCTACACTGCCGACAAACCGTTCTTTGTTGTTCTAGTAAACTCTGTTTCCCTGTCATCATTCCTTTCAATGTCAATCTCCACCTCCCTGTGTCCCCCCTGCAGGAACAGGCAGAAAATGGCTTCTCCACAGCAGGGTCAGCGGTCATTGATGACGACAACACAGCAGGGTTTACCTCTTCCACCGGTGCGGTCAGGAGGGAGGGGCCACTGCGAACCTTGGACGACCACAGGCCAATCACTGTGCACTTTGGACAGGTGGGCAGAAATGATGTGGTGAGTAGGAAGAGAGGGCGATGTTTCATATGAATCATCTGGTTATAAAATGATAGACAGAGATATTGATATAATTTGTCAGAGATTATTCCATATTATCACACAGCTCTCCTCTCCCTTCCAAACACTAGCTGCCCTCCAGGCAGTCAGTGGACAGGAAGTTGTTCCTGTGATGTAGAGACAGAGCTCAGTTAAAACTTTATGGATGAAAGATTCTTTTGTTACAGATTAATAACTCACCACTCTGAAACTCTTGCTCCAGTCCATGTTGCCGAGCTCGTTGGCAACTCCCAACAAAGATCATTTAGAGACAAGATGTATCACTCCATAGCTAAAATGAAGCCTTCAACACAGGGTGAAAAGAGGAGCTGCAGCAATGTGCAGTATTAAAAGAAATATGGTGTTTTATGAAAATTAAACCATGTAAACCTGTTCTGGTAGAACCCCTAAATAAGATTTTGAACCTGAAAATGAGCAGAATATGACCTCTTTCATATTTAAACTTATGATCAATATGTCAGTATGGACATGCTGCACATTGTTAGATCAGTTAGATTCTCCACAATTCAATCATTCAGTTCATTTAACGGAAACAACAAGACCTAAAGTCTTAGATATAGATTTACGATGCTGCCTACACAATAAAAGCGCATAAGCCGTCTGTCGGAGCTAGATCAAATGAGTGACGTGTATTTCATATTATTGGATAATTTTTGTACAAGTAATATTCTGTTTGAAATAAATAAACTACTCATAGTAGCCTATTTCAGTTTTGTGATGTGTTTGATTGAGAGAAGGTCCTGTAACCTGCTGCAGTTTTGGAGATTATTTATAAGTTATTTAATAATCAGTGTTTTATTATAAACATAGAGTTGACTGGACTCCAGGAAGAATAGCCAGTGTTTATGCTGGTGCTGATGGGGAGCCTAATAAAAAGATTCATACAAAATGTTCCATCAAAGAAGAGTTACAAAAATGTTTGTGTATGCTGTCCATTATGTCAAATATAGTTCTTAGAAGGAAAAATAAAATCAGAATCGGCAGGTCCAGCTTTGAAAAAAATTGGAAATTGGAATCAGCAAAGTTGCAATCGGTGGATCTCCAGTAACTATGTTTTGGTCCGTTTTTATGTTGATTGTTTGCTTCCTTTGCTTTTCAATGCATATATACTGTATATACCTATGGGTCTCTCTGGCTAGGAGGTAGATATGCGTGAATAAATTGTTCCCTTGTTTTTTCACTTCCACAGGCTCGGCCACCAATGGTGTTGAAGAGGCCAAGCAGCAATGTGAGTCTGGAGAGCAGTGTTGACCAGTAAGTCTACCTCCACTTTATACTGTACACCCCACTTTCCATGATGCTATTAAGGAATTACATTCACATATTAAAATAGCCAGTGCATTATTGTTGAGACAGAGGGGGAAACCTGCTAATATGTTTCTCTGAGTTTGTAGAGAGCAAGAAATGTAACATTACAAGACCATATTAACCTTCTGAACATAATAAATCCTGTTAACTACTGAGTAATTAGGGCCCGAGCACGACCGTGTGAGGTCCCTATTGAATTTGCTCGGATTATATTTAGGGCCCGAGCACGACCGTGCGAGGTCCCTATTGAATCTGCTCGGATTATATTTTTAGGGCCCGAGCACGACCGTGCGAGGTCCCTATTGAATGTGCTCGGATTTTTTTTTTTTTAGGGCCCGAGCACGACCGTGCGAGGTCCCTATTGAATCTGCTCGGATTATAATTTTTTTTTTTTTTTTTTTTTTTTTTTTTTTTTTCTGCAAAGTAGGCCCAAATGACATGGCCTAAACATACTCGAAAACTCACCAAAATTTGCAAACATGTCAGAACCGGTGAAAAATTTCGTATTCTACAAGTTTCGCACATGGGCGTGGCAAAATGACTCGCTAGCGCCACCTTGAAAATTGGAAATGATTAGCCCCTCGTTCACGTTCAACCTACATGTACGAAATTTTCTGGGGACATGTATCGTATCAAGACGCACAAAAAAGCCTCAAGAACCCATAGCCTAAAGTCAACAGGAAGTCGGCCATTTTGAATTTTATGGCCATTTTTGGATGATTTACACACTTCGTACTTTAACGAACTCCTCCTAGGGATTTAGTCGGATCGACGTCAAATTTCTGCTGTGCCTTCTAAAGGCATTGACGATGAAAAGTTGTGCTATTTGCGAGTTTTCGTCAATGGGCGTGTCCGTGGCGTCGATGATTCGCAATGAAACAGGAAGTTGTTGTAACTTCAGTGTACATGCTCACATCTGGACCAAACTGTACATGTAGGATGAGAGTCCCGCCCTGAACACATGTACATGCCGACATTCACCCACAGTCATAGCGCCACCTGCTGGCAACAGAAAGTGACTTTAACGAAGCAGCCCCCGCCGCACGTTTCACCTACGTGCACGAATTTTCTGTGGTACGTGTATCATGTCCAGACGCACAAAAAAGCCTCTTGGAGCCATAGCCTAAAATCAACAGGAAGTCGGCCATTTTGAATTTTACGTCAAATTTTGGATGATTTACACACTTCGTACTTTAACGAACTCCTCCTAGGGATTTAGTCCGACCGACCTCAAATTTGTGCTGTGCCTTCTAAAGGCATTGAAGATGAAAAGTTGTGCTATTTGCAAGTTTTCGTCAATGGGCGTGTCCGTGGCGTGGCGTCAAAGATCAGCTCTTCGCCATGACACGGAAGTTGTCGTAACTTCAGTGTACATGCTCACATCTGGACCAAACTGTACATGTAGGATGAGAGTCCCGCCCTGAACACATGTACATGCTGACATTCACAGACAGTCATAGCGCCACCTGCTGGCAACAGGAAGTGACTTTTAACGAAGCAGCCCCCGCCGCACGTTTTACCTACGTGCACGAATTTTCTGTGGTACGTGTATCTTGTCCAGACGCACAAAAAAGCCTCTTGGAGCGATGCCCTAAAATCAACAGGAAGTCGGCCATTTTGAATTTTACGTCAAATTTTGGATGATTTACACACTTCGTACTTTAACGAACTCCTCCTAGGGATTTAGTCCGGCCGACCTCAAATTTGTGCTGTGCCTTCTAAAGGCATTGAAGATGAAAAGTTGTGCTATTTGCAAGTTTTCGTCAATGGGCGTGTCCGTGACGTGGCGTCAAAGATCAGCTCTTCGCCATGACACGGAAGTTGTCGTAACTTCAGTGTACATGCTCACATCTGGACCAAACTGTACATGTAGGATGAGAGTCCCGCCCTGAACACATGTACATGCTCACATTCACAGACAGTCATAGCGCCACCTACTGGCAACAGGAAGTGACTTTTAACGAAGCAGCCCCCGCCGCACGTTTTACCTACGTGCACGAATTTTCTGTGGTACGTGTATCTTGTCCAGACGCACAAAAAAGCCTCTTGGAGCGATGCCCTAAAATCAACAGGAAGTCGGCCATTTTGAATTTTACGTCAAATTTTGGATGATTTACACACTTCGTACTTTAACGAACTCCTCCTAGGGATTTAGTCCGACCGACTTCAAATTTGTGCTGTGCCTTCTAAAGGCATTGAAGATGAAAAGTTGTGCTATTTGCGAGTTTTCGTCAATGGGTGTGTCCGTGGCGTGGCGTCAGAGATCAAGTCTTCGCCATGACACAGGAAGTTGTTGTAACTTCAGTGTACATGCTCACATCTGAACCAAACTTTACGTGCTTGATAACTCTCCCACCCCGCTATGGAGGACCGATCCTGACACAGTCAGAAATAAATACAGAAATAAATAAATGCTCAATAAATAAATAAGCATCCAATTAAATACACAAAAAAATAAAGTAAATAAATAAATGTAGGTAGTAATTAAATTATACAAGGAGACATAAATGTATATATTTTAATTAGTGCCTTTACTTATTCACCTTTGTTATAATTACCTTATTTGTTTATTCAACTTTATTTATTACTAATTTTTTTAATGTATTTATTTATGTGTGTGTTTTAATATTTTTGTCTGTTTTATTCTTCCTTTGTATTTATTTACCTTATTTATTTTCACCCATGGTATTTATTTCTGCCTGTCTTAAATTTTTGTATGCATTTCTGCCTCACTATGCAAATGAGGAGGGGCTGTGTCTCAAGGGGTCATCTTCTCTGCTATTGGTGGACCAGTCAGACAGGAGAGCTCCTACTCTGCCTGCAGACATCAACGATCTTGCCCCTCACACAGTCAGATGGCTTCCTTCAGTGCGCTGAGGTGTTTAACAACTCTGAAGACACTACCAGCCATGTCTTCCTTCTCTTTTCACGTAGACGCTCCGACAGACAGTGCTTTCAGTTTGCTGCATGCATGGACACAGAACTGCGGTACAGCACACAGTAACGATGAAATGTGTGCTGTTATCACATTCTTCCTCTGTATGTACACATAAACAACAAGGCAGGGAAATATAAAAGGAATTTATTTTATTGTTTGGGTACATTATTGTTCAGTGTACATGCTCACATCTGAACCAAACTTTGCGTGCTTGATAACTCTCTGACCCCCAGACATCTACACGTCAATACCGATTTATATTCATAGCGGCAAGTGCTATGTAGCTCCACATAGGGGACACAGGAAGTGACATATAGCACCTTCATGCGGCGACATAACCGCGTAGGAAATTCACAGCCGCACCGGCAGAGCTCCAGAATGTGCAACTCGGCCGGCTCACACGCGGACGCGCTTACAAGTGCGAGGGCCCGCCCAACGCTGCTTGCAGCTTTAATTTTTTTTTTTTTTTTTTTTTTCTGCAAAGTAGGCCCAAATGACATGGCCTAAACATACTCGAAAACTCACCAAAATTTGCAAACATGTCAGAACCGGTGAAAAATTTCGTATTCTACAAGTTTCGCACATGGGCGTGGCAAAATGACTCGCTAGCGCCACCTTGAAAATTGGAAATGATTAGCCCCTCGTTCACGTTCAACCTACATGTACGAAATTTTCTGGGGACATGTATCGTATCAAGACGCACAAAAAAGCCTCAAGAACCCATAGTCTAAAGTCAACAGGAAGTCGGCCATTTTGAATTTTATGGCCATTTTTGGATGATTTACATACTTCGTACTTTAACGAACTCCTCCTAGGGATTTAGTCGGATCGACTCAAATTTCTGCTGTGCCTTCTAAAGGCATTGACGATGAAAAGTTGTGCTATTTGCGCGTTTTCGTCAATGGGCGTGTCCGTGGCGTCGATGATTCGCAATGAAACAGGAAGTTGTTGTAACTTCAGTGTACATGCTCACATCCGGACCAAACTGTACATGTAGGATGAGAGTCCCGCCCTGAACACATGTACATGCCGACATTCACCCACAGTCATAGCGCCACCTGCTGGCAACAGAAAGTGACCTTTAACGAAGCAGCCCCCGCCGCACGTTTCACCTACGTGCACGAATTTTCTGTGGTACGTGTATCTTGTCCAGACGCACAAAAAAGCCTCTTGGAGCCATAGCCTAAAATCAACAGGAAGTCGGCCATTTTGAATTTTACGTCAAATTTTGGATGATTTACACACTTCGTACTTTAACGAACTCCTCCTAGGGATTTAGTCCGACCGACTTCAAATTTGTGCTGTGCCTTCTAAAGGCATTGAAGATAAAAAGTTGTGCTATTTGCGAGTTTTCGTCAATGGGTGTGTCCGTGGCGTGGCGTCAGAGATCAAGTCTTCGCCATGACACAGGAAGTTGTTGTAACTTACGTGTACATGCTCACATCTGAACCAAACTTTACGTGCTTGATAACTCAAGGGGTCATCTTCTCTGCTACTGGTGGACCAGTCAGACAGGAGAGCTCTTACTCTGCCTGCAGACATCAACGATCTTGCCCCTCACACAGTCAGATGGCTTCCTTCAGTGCGCTGAGGTGTTTAACAATTCTGAAGACAATACTACCAGCAATGTCTTCCTTCTCTTTTCACGTAGAAGCACCGACAGACAGTGCTTTCAGTTTGCTGCATGCATGGACACAGAACTGCGGTATAGGGAGAAGCACACGGTCAGCTGGCTGCAGCTAAATCTGGAGTGCACTCGTATTCAATTCTGTATGGTAAATTCAGTTTTAACGGAGCAGAGCGAGCTGACAGGCAGAGTTAGAGACTTTTTCTGTCCGTTTCTCTCTTTACAAAGACGCATGTTGCAGTCAGAGTCTTCTCTGAGATGCGAGCACGACATACAACACAATTTATCAAATTACACAACGGATATACAGTATGAAAATAAGATTGATTGGATTATACTCACAGGAAGTATAAAACCTCTTACATGGGTCTATTAAAAGTA